AGCGATGACAGGAGACCTGTTTATTTTAAACTATTATTGCATATCATTTTTATAAGTACGGAGAAAAGCGGCAAAGCGATATCAACCGTGCACAAAAATTAGCATAACGGTGATACTCATGACAGGACAGTGTTATCAACATCCACAACACAAAGCCGGCACGACAAGATTCTCTTATCGGAGCGAACATTGGCTCGTCGTTGGTGGTTGTGGTGGTGTTGGTGGTAGCAGAAAGAACTCCCTGAATTGCAGAGATGCTCTCCTCAGAAATTACAGTGGTGGCTTCATCGACAAGACAGAAAGAGAAAAGAAACACAGCTGGCTTTAAACATGGGAACCCTCAACCTACAGATAGCCCCACGAAATGGCCGCAGCCAAGTCATACACGATCATAAGTCTCGACCTTGATTTCGACATCTCGTAAAACATGCTGGAGACTTCCATAGGCACGAGCAATCAATGCATCGGCGGGGTCCGAGAAGACGACAAAACCTGTCTTCGGCGGTAACGGTCTGGAACTTCTGGCGTTATAACGAGACTTTAAAGGCAGCATGAGCACCATAGTGACCGCATCTTTTTTATCGACTAGTTTATCGAAATAATCCTTGAGCAAGACGCTCGATGATAAACCAAGCTTATGGCAGCGCTTGACCAAGAGAACTCGACCCCTGCAATCCTCTTCATCTTGAGGTAGGAGGGACTTCACATCCGTCAAGGTCATGCTGCCACATACACCGGTCCTCCCATTTTGCAGAGGGAAAACTTTGTCGATCTGGACCAACTGCTCGAGTGGAGCATAATCGGAATCATGGGTGTCAGCAGTAGTGATAGAATCACAGCTTGGAGAGAAGCTTTCAACACGGGGAAGTGACACAGTATGCCTGCTCCGTCTGTCTGTAACTGGAGACAATGGTTTGGTGCTGCTTGCAGGAAAGCTGCTCACAATAACGGAACGCTCTCCCTTCACATCGTCGTTGAACCATTGGTGCACCTCACGAGCAGTCTCAGCCGTGTTCATAACAAAAACGGCAGCTGTCACAGTAACAGTATCTTCTATGGACTTAACCGGGTTGACAACGAACAAACCTCTCGTAGCTCCACGAAATTGTTCGGTGAGCCAAGACAAGGTAGGATACGAGTAACCTGCAGCGGGATGGACAGCAATCATGAGATCCCTCCATAATGGAAGCATTGCTTTAACATCCTTAGCTAAAGTAGCTACGTCATTGTACAACTCGACTTCGGGATCACCACATACCTTCAACTCACGACTCATCGGCGACCAGGATGCCGGAGTGGTAGTCGAGACGGTAGAAGCGGTCCTTGTTGACAGCGCGCGGGGAGTAGAGTAACCCGACACACTCGAGACCGGTGATCCACAAGAATAAGCAAACATGAGATATCTCAATACCGAATATTAGAGTATGACACAGACAGATCTGTCAACGCCAACAATAGCACTGGATGGAGGTATTAGCCGAGGCTAGTATGCAGGTTTTCGTGTAGCACAATCGATGTCCCTATCACTGTTCCACACAAAGATCTTTAATCTCGAATCATAAAATACGCTATTTACTGTCGCCACGAGAGTAAGATGATATCCTCGTTCATGCAAAGAATGAATAGTCAGCGGTGTTCCTATCCCTAATTTATCCTCCTCCAGATCACAGTTTCCTGTATCAGCGGCTTCATCGGGACGGGTACACAGCACCTCGATGTTTTGCTTACGACGTGGGGTCGAGGCTACCGCCATCTTCTCAACAGTGCTGCGGCGCTTTAGATTCGGCATACGGTTAGAAGTATTCAAGATTCTGTGACATGCCGACACCAGTGGCTGCCTTCCCGAAACTGACTTCATTGACTAGAATTCAGGAAAAAAGAGTGTATTACATGTGCCGATACCTTACTAGCTAATATTGGTAACTGCCTTCTGTGCGACACCCAATACGTCATAAAATTCTTTCCACGGATCGTCCCTTCATATCTGAGTATTTCTTCAAGCCGACTTGACGTCGAGACTAATGACTAAAGAACGAGCTTCATGGAATTACGGCCGAATAGGAGATGAGCTTGTAGTTCAGTGAGACTACAGACGATTCTCTTCCATGTGGGTAAACCTGTGTAGGTTTCTAGTCAGCGGATCGGGAATGTAATCGCCATAACCGAGCATGCTGCATGCCTGACAGCGATCGTTCATACACAGCGGATGAGTTAAAAGATTGCGAATCGTACATTATAGCGTCATGGATGCGCAGAGCTAGGGAAAGCGACCAGCCTGGAGGAGTAAAGGCGAAGAGAAGACAACTTCTTAAGTGTATTTCGGAGAGCATAGTTATTGCGGCGTCCAAAGGTGGGCATGAGTAGCTCTTGAGGCAACTGGCAGAGCATCAGTGACAACAGTGAAAACTTGACCTCCTCCAGGACTTCCCTGCGCCACGAAATAGACAATGAGCATAGGATAATGCCGAACATGGCAACCATCACGATTCAATGTGAGTCATGTTACTCATAATTCAAAGTCGCCGAACTTTCCCCCAGCAGTAGTAGTGCGGAAGGTGCGGAAGGTGAAGATACTCTGGGAGCTTTCATATTCAGCCATCACTCTGTGCTTCAAATCAGCACTACGTTGCAATATCTGCAGAACTGGCTCCTCCGAAGTGTTCAGATGGCCCTTCCTCGTAGCTTCTGTAGCACTATGGTAGCTGTGGGAGCGGCTGCCAATGCTTTTACTCGACACCAGGGCTCTCTCTCGCTTAGCTTTTTCCAGACTGGCCTTGTCTACAATGTCATGGCTGTTAACAGCTTTTCGCATCATCACCGCTCGAAGATGCTCCCGTGCCCTTCTCAGTCGTGTCTGTGAGGACGACGCTGTATCCCCAAGGAGGAACAGAGCCGACATCTTCTCTATATCATGCTCATCATCCTTCTCCCCGCCCTCGTCGTCACTCCCTTGCCCGCAGTAGTCACAAGCTTGCCAAGGGTAGACATCAGATGATACATCTCTCATACAGGGAACGCTCGCCCACAGCGGTGTTTGGAACATTTCCAACTTCTGCTTCAGTCGGTAACCAGTAAGTCTTTGCTGTCTTGATCCAGACGCGAACCGTGCCTTTCTTTTTGAGAAGGCCCTCAGCCTGATACCGGTTTTGCTGCGACGGATCTTCGACTCGCTCTCGGTGCCGCTGTCGCTACTCTCGTCATCATCTAATGCACCTTCATGGTGCACTTCACCTTCAACCATGGCTTCTGGTATAGCATTATCCGTACCATCGGTCCCCGCAGACATCATATTAATGGCTGAATCCATGGCATGTTCGTCGACTCTGCCGATCCACTCATTGCGGATCGTCTTATCTCGTGGAACGTCGGTAATTGCATGACCCGGAAAAAGGATTGTATGAACTTCAGGAGACATCGGGTCATCGTTTCGGTTCGCCTCATCCAAATCAGAGTCCGGCAAGATCCCGAGCTCGAGAGAATGTTGAGCGCGAGCAAGCCAGCTCTGTCTTCGGTTCCTGTCTAACGGCAAATCAGTGAGGAAGTGCCCGCCAACCACTGCGCTCTCTCTCCGAGCGATGTCGGCCGAAGCCCATGTGCCTCGTCGGTTCTTTTCCACTGGTATTTCTATGACATGATCAATGCATGATCTACTCCGGTACTGGCGTTGCTTATAAGCTTTCTGTAGAGTAGCCGCGTTGTTAGTTTTCCCTTTCAGTTGTTCCCAGCCCTCAGCAAGCTCCGCGACCTCTTTCTTCCGGGACGTGACTTCATTAATAGCTGAAGCTCTTAGTGCTCGCAGACTTTCCATACGCGCAAACTTGAGACCGCTCCTCATTCGCATCGGCAAAGTGCGTCGCGGCCCTGAGCCGTTCTCAATATTACAAGATTCGCTCAGTTTGCTGTCGCTCCGGAGTATAGCAGACAACTGAGATACGGTGAGCGTCTCGGCCGGTCGACGGCGAAAGAGAAATGCGGCCTTACTCTGCTGCATAACCTACCTCCCGCTTGCCTTCAGGACTCGACAGCATGTTCCGTTGCTGGTCTCGCCTTCTCCTTTGTTTTTTCCTCTCAGTCGCCTCTCGTAGAAGTTTCCGCGCCATTTCCACGTAGCTGAGAAATACAAAAACGCACCCTGATGAGTTGGTCATGCGAGGAGACGGAGTGGTCTACTTACAACACTAGTTCCCGAGGAAACTCCATGATACTCTCGAGGAAATCAATGGTGTGCAGGACGTAAAATTCCGAGAAACTCAAACACTGGGCCTGAAAAGAATACGTGAAAGCCCCGCTTCGACCGCAACAGCTTCAAATGAATATGGGGAAACAGACGCAAGAGGGCAACTCTACCTGCACTATCCGGACGGAGTTCACTAGAAGCGAAAGCTCTCCAAAATGCGTGTCGTTGCCGTTGTTTCTCAACGTCATGGATGATCGTAGAGACTTATTCAGCAGACGAACCTGATACAGTATCAACCTGCTACTTATCAGAAGATTCTCGGCACTCCAGTTGCTATCTCGAAGGGACTGATCTCATCAAAAGCCTCCTCACCTTGCCCTGAGCCAAGAAATACGCGCAATCGGCCAACTCTCCACATTCGAAAAGGATGTCGTTGGGACCATATTCAACTGGAACCAGCTTCAAAACTAGACTTGCGGGGAGTTGCGCATCAACAGTAGGGCATTCCGAGAACATTGGCAGTCTGAAAGTACAAGTTGTATACCCAGGAGTAATTATAATATAAACTAGATATAAATATTATATTGGATTTATAGAGAATATCTATTGATATAAATTGGAATATCTATTGAGAATATCTATCAAGCTTATAGCTTACCAGGAAGTATAATATTCTCATGATATGAAGCGAAAGGCGATCACGACGCATCCCGCACTGTTATTCTCACTGGTTCAACACTCCCCCGCGAATGTGTCTTTGGACCTCAGAGCGTAATGGCAAGGATAGCATACGGAGGATCTCATCGCATTCCACACGATGAAGCCGATGTCTGAGGGAAATCCCCAAGCTTCCGGAGATACGCTCATAGCTGCTTACCGCTCTTCTTGGGAGCGAAAGTAGGTGTGGATCTTATCCATGATATGTGGGGGCAAGCGGAGGTTGCGTTTGAGGTAGACAATTGCATTTCTCCGTTTGGTCTGGAAGTGGTTGAGAACGATGTCAGGAGGGGTGTATAGGGTTTGAACCTATCAGAGGGATTATGTGAAATGCTGGAGTTCCTGCTGAGCAATAAAAACAAGATACATCTTTTGCGGATCAAGCTCAGCCTATTGCGCATCCTACTCAACAATTCGAGATAGCGTTCGCATATATTATACAGTGGTTTGTTTCATGTTCTTCCATTGCCCAAGTCGTTCGAGACTCACAAAGCCAACGGTTAATCCAAAAGCTGCGCAACCGATGAGCATGGCGATGATGGAGTATAACCGCTCTCCCCAGTGCCAGCCGTAAATGTTGCCGTATCTAATGAGATCAAAAGCTTCTCTCCTCTCAAACTCCGCTACAGAATCTCATCTTTATCTCTGAGTGTGCTGGGCGAACCGCCAGCATCAGATAAGAATGAGATTCTGTGATATAACAGTGATCTATCGCTTCGACCAAGATTGATGGCTCTGGTAGTTCAGTAAAGCAATCTACCCAACAGCTGCGATAGTCTGCAACTCCAGAACATGCTGTTGAGGTAGGCCTCGAATGCATCATGCAACACACAGATCCGCTGTCCACGGGAGTAACTAATGATACATCAGTTGCAACATGAAATCGAGTTGCCTGAGGCTACTCATCCCAATTGGTGTACGGGGTTGCCATCAGCTCAGCAGGATCACCATCCGTGCACGCTCTCTGATAGAGAGTCACCAACTCCGTGGGGTATTCACCTACAGGACACCTGTGTCATATACGGCTCGTTGATAAGTCATCGTTCGTGACAGTCTGAAAGTGTATCGTCATGGTGTACCCCTTTCCACCTCTGATCTCTTCAAGCCTGTATATCCAATTTTCAGCGCCAGAACGATACAGCTCCCAGCCTAGCATACCAAATGCGCAGGCGTTCCAGTGCGCGATAAGCAACTGATAACAGGTGAATGGAAAGAGGGAGTTCTACTAGCATGCAATTGAAGAGAAGGACCATACCACTAGGATGCTGAGCTTGCCCATACCGATGATAGTCATGGCGAACGACTCAACCAGAGCTCCAGCAAATGAAGCCGAGACCTCATCCATCACGCTTTTGATCTGAGAACGTCGACCTTGCTTCAGTCTCGTGGACTAGGAAACCCGCACGGTTGAAAGCACACCCGACGTTGCACTCACTTTAAGGAGTCGCACTAACTTCAAACCCCTCGTGATGCGACCAAGTCGGATGATACGGAGGAGATTCGGTCCACGAGAGGCCGCCGACTGAGAGCAGTCGTGAGGCCGATCTTGATCGCATGACTCACATCGCTGCCAGCTGCTGCCGTGATAATCCATGAATAAGGAAATGATGCCACCAAGTCGAGCAGAAACCATCCTTTGAGGTAATGTAAAGCGACCTACAGACAAACAGCTCGACGTTAGGCAGGATATGATCGGAGAAAACATAGTAAGCGAAAGCGGCTTGAATAGTCCGACATGCTTAGCGTCCATCTCGATAACTCCATTCGGCTTCTGATATCCCGTGCAGAAGTTGGCCAGTACATCTAGGAGGAAGAACCTGCGACACACTATTGTTGGACAGGACAGAAGTACACCCTTGAAAGGCAGTGAATGCCTCAGCTCCAGGAACACAGGACTCACATAGTCATCACATCCTCGAATAGTTCGTAACCCTTAGAGAGATGTATATATGGGAATGCGAGTAGTAGCGGCACAGTGACAGCCTGGTAGAGTATGAGCAGCAGTAGAATGATATCCCAAGTTCTACGGAATCTGAGGCCTCTGCTGCAGTCGATTAATGTGCTCTTATCTCACCTGCTATCGGGCCATACGAGGCATTCAGATCTTAGCAGGATGCCATCTACGGCTCGATCCCAGATAGTCGGCCTTCTCGTGGTCGGCAGAGTTTGCTCACTCTGTGATGTCTGCGGCGAGTGGTATAAATTGGCAAGAGAGGTTTGGCCAGTTCCCAGGACGCTAAGGCCTGCTCCCTTCAAGTTGTGCGAATCTTCGATCTTTTGACGACTTCCAACTATTCTCTGCGGACCAACACTGATTATCGCGCCCACAGGGGAAATGCTGTGTACCTCTTCGGCCTTATACTGGTCGACGCAATCCTCATCGAAGTCTGTGAAGAAGCCCTCATAGGTCTGCTCCATTGTAGTCAGTTGTTGAGTATCTCGATGCTTCACTTGCCTTGCCATTGCCTACTAACAAATGCTCTTTCTGCGCCGTTTGAACCAGGGAATCTGCAGGGCCCACCTCGACAGTTTTCTGAATCAGGTTACGACTCGTATTAATCATAGATCGCATCCTCCCCCTCCGCCACATACGATCTCGAAGACTCGCCTTCAGGTTGTGCGTCCTCCGACCTTGGAGAGCACTGCGCATTCCCTAGTGAGACTACTGAAGTTTTGCACTAATACACACTTGCTATCAACCTATCAACGTTCAGGGATGTTCCCTCGGAGCTTGTGCCACTCTTTGTTGAATCCCCTCCACATGTGAGGCCCCCTCCCCAAGCAACCCTGCACCATACAAACACGAACGATGCCATTGTCATAGAAAATGATCTCAATGCAGCAACAGCAAAAACATAGGCAGTTCAAACTCCTCAATTAAAGATCGCAACAACTCAAGCGATCAGGCATCTCTCGGCAGAGCGACTTCAAGGGTTTTATCTCCCGGATGATTGAGTCTTCTGATGCACCTCGAGATAACGGACTAGCATCTGGAAGTTTACCTCTCAGGTACTATCACCCAGTCGTGCTTAATGTGGAACAATAGGAGGCAAATCGCGATAATAAATATTATGCTTCTGAGCTAGTTCTCTTCATGGATAGGGCATGAAGGAGATGAAGCATCTCCCCACAGTGTTGCCCATAAATTCTCTTCTACTGTCGCAATGTGTTAGAAATGTCATTTCAGCTCGTAAGAGGGGTCACGGGGCACAATGTGATGCTATCGCTGACCCTTCGTGTTGCTACCAATATCTCGCGCATCCTCGATTGCATGTGCAATGGCACGGTCTGATTGAGTGGAACCCCAGAGGTAGCCTTCGACTGCCGCGCGGAGGCGTCTAATCGCCTCGCTCCTCAGATGAGCAGCGTGTCGCACGACTGTAGACCTTTTACGCAATGGGGCATCTAAGTCGTTACTTGTTCCGTCTGGTCTATAATGAGCTGCAACTCACTATTCTTCTCAAGCCAGTGAGCGCACTGGAGTATTGCTCTCTTGGTTTTGCCATTTCTCATCAGTACGTCCGCTGCCATCCTCACCTATGCTGATAAAGAGCTGCCACTGAATTGCTCACAAACAGTCATCACTTGGTTCGCATTTATGTCTTGTGGCTCTTCCAGTATCGCCTGAGACCAGGTCGTCAGTGCCCCAAGGACCGCATTAAAACCTGGTCACGGTATCAAATCTCTCGACTTCTGGCGTAGTTTTGAATGGGAGTTGCGTTTCGGCATCTTTTCGGAGGAACCACGCGGGTATAGCCGGCATCGCTCGCGCTAACTGTTCAGCGTCTGACACATATTGTCGTGCCATCTACAATCACACAGCGGCCATGAATCCTGCGCAGGGGCCTCGCAGGGCTACCTCTCTCCGCTCGGCCATAAGCTGCTCAAGCTTCACCTCATTCATCTGGACTAAGTCGCTAATAGTGGGCTCATGCGGTCCTGGTGAAGGCAGCTCCTTGGCGCCTGTTATTGCCATTCTTATTTCCTGGATGCCCCCGAAGTGAAGTGCTTCTCGCAGTTTCCTGATGATGAAGATTCGACAAGCCGTTGCTATACGTTGCCATTGAGAAGGACTAACACTCGCCATGGTAACGTGGTAAAGACGTCTGGTTCTACTACAGCGCGTCTTACGCTCGTTGACATTGCATCTTTCGGAGCGTCTCTCTAGCCTCGGTGAGATCTTCCTCGATACCTTCCATCCACCCAATCCCCGCTTGCTCGATCGCTGTCACTGCAGCACAAAGATTCTCCTCGGACATGGCTTCCTTCAAAAGCCGGAGCACTCTGAGCACCACTGGAACCTCCAGGCAATGCTTGAGTTACTTCCTATGATGTTCTCTCGACTGTTCATTGTTAAAGGGATCGCCACCCTTAACGATGGACAAGTCTCTTCTGGGCTCCCCAATGAGCCTATGGAGCCTCGACGATGAACTCGCATCGTCCACTCTCCCAATGAACGTGCTGGTCTCATTGCGGTACTTAAAAAACCGCGTGTTCGCTGGCGATAATGGTTCTGTATCACTTGCCTCCGCTACTTCCTGAGCATACTAAGACAGGAACCAGCTTGGAGAGTTCCGTCAACAAGATTTCCCTCGATATCTCACCCGCAGGCAGTCGCTGTGCTGCAAGGCTCTCAAAGAACCACCTGCATACCCCAGCTCATCGCACATCTCAGGAAGAACGCCCTCTTGTTGAGGCTCTACGGGCGAGAGATTGTACACTCAGAACACTCAAATAATACCCCACCTACGATTTCGTTGACTTCCGTAAACTTGGAGTCCTCTGACAGGAGTGTTGATCGCACAGGAGACTCTACAGTGCCCAAGGTATCTCCATTGGTATTCATTCAATTGAAGGCTAGAAAATGATAGCTACAGTATAAACTTGAGGGTGGCAACATAACACGCGCAAACTGACGTTAACTTGGGGTCGCTTCGTGATATGCACTTACAGGCGGGGCGACTAGGCCACGTCGAGATATGTCTCAACACAGTCAATTTCTACGGAGGGGCGACTATGCCATCTCACGATATACCTCAACACAGTCAATTTCTACGGAGGGGCGACTATGCCATCTCAAGATATACCTCAACACAGTCAATTTCTACGGAGGGGCGACTATGCCATCTCAAGATATACCTCAACACAGTCAATTTCTACGGAGGGGCGACTATGCCATCTCAAGATATACCTCAACACAGTCAATTTCTACGGAGGGGCGACTATGCCATCTCAAGATATACCTCAACACAGTCAATTTCTACGGAGGGGCGACTATGCCATCTCAAGATATACCTCAACACAGTCAATTTCTACGGAGGGGCGACTATGCCATCTCAAGGTATACCTCAACACAGTCAATTTCTACGGAGGGGCGACTATGCCATCTCAAGGTATACCTCAACACAGTCAATTTCTACGGAGGGGCGACTATGCCATCTCAAGATATACCTCAACACAGTCAATTTCTACGGAGGGGCGACTATGCCATCTCAAGATATACCTCAACACAGTCAATTTCTACGGAGGGGCGACTATGCCATCTTGAAATATACCTCAATACATAACGCTTGCAAAATGCTAGTGTCAGCTTAACATTGTCTTTCAATCATATCCGCTCACTGGACCGTTTGCGTGGTAGGCTCTTGCTTCCCCAGAGTCGCATAGTTAGACGGAACGGGAGGACGTTTAGGAACCGAGACGACACTCATGCAAGCCATGGCAGCATGCACGCTGTTACAAACAACTTACCTTTCAATGCTTTCATCACCGGAACACCGGCTTCCAACTACAACAACGCCGATAAATTTATCCGTACGGAAGTTGCCATGAAACAGGCACTCCTCCACCTAATGATGTGCGAACCAGGCCAGCGACGACCTGACAAAGTCGCTCCTTGAGCTCCACTCGCGACGATCAATGCTGATAGAACGTTCAGGAGAACAGATTCATTCAAGACTGTCTTCTCATTGTCTCCACTCATGCAACACAAGCCTAAACCAATTTCGTGGCTACTGCTCACAATTCAAGAGCAGCATGTACAACATAGCGTATCCATGGCATCGGCCATCACATCAACGTGTTATCGTGTCATAGACACGGTAAATGAAATCAAGGTATTATCATTGAATGACAGCTCTACGCCAAGGACTCCTCATCCACAGTGCTTGCATTATCCGAGTCGGAGTCGGGTGTCTTTTCTATCATAGCACTTGTGAGCGGGTCATCCACCGTGGCTGGCGCGATCACCAAAGCTGGCACTTTCTCTGAGGGCTGACTGGCCACTTCAATGCTGGAGCTTCTCGTGGGTTTCTGAAGAAAAGTCAGTCATTGAAAACTCTCGTTCAGCATGAACCGTGCTGAACCCACATGAATACTGCGGAGAACTGGGCTCAAGAACCGACGAGCCGATAGCCTCCTCAACCACCCTGCTACGGTGTGCCGATAGACGATCTGAACGTAGAAGTAGATTTCCATACAAAAAACCCTGATCCTCACCGTAGCAGCAGTCAGGAGGATCGCCGAGATAACCAGCGAGATGATGACGTTCAGTAAGGCTTGGGCGATCGGCAATGGCGTGCTGGTCGCTCCTGCCTTCACAGAAACCGGTGTTCCTCTCCTAAAAGGCCCAACCATACCAACGCCAAACCACCGCAAAACCCCTTACAGAGAGCCAATGCTAGCTGGAGGCGCCTCGGCTGAGCCCGGAATCAACGGCCACTGCATCAAAGCAGCCTGAGAGAGCGAAGCGACATCGGAAGTCTCGACCGGGCAGAAGGTTACCATCACGCTCCTGTCCATCGTCTGTTCGGTCTCTTCCAAAGCATTGAGTATGTTAGAAGTTGCCGTTACCTAAAATCTCGAGAAAAGCTCATCCCCGATGAGAGTGCAAGCTGTACCAAGTCGGTCAGCTGATACTCCGATCCGCGACGACGCAGAGCGATAGCCGGAACAGCCCCGAGAAGGCAGTGACAAATAGTGAATCTCATTAGAAAGCTTCCGCTGAATCAGCTGCAAACGACAGACACTTCACGAGAAATCACCATCTGACCATTAACAAAAACCACAGTGTAAGCTCCGTGTATTCGACCTGGACGAATCAGCCGCCACACTTCCGACTCGAAAGTTACGACCACTGCCCAGCTTGATCTATTTTTGGGCGAGCGAGATCTATCATACACTCATCTCGACCGCACTCGTTTAGCAATACGACATGGAGAATGGCTTCCTACATGAACGTGAGTTGAAGCACATCCATTCATTCTCATGCTCCCAACTGCATCATGGGAATGTAGTGCCGCGCTACCAGCGCATGACGAACACAAGGGTTCCGGAATGGACAGTGAAACGTGGCAGTAGAAGGTACGAGTATAATGACAACCGAGACACTATTTTCTCTTCTTCCAGCTGTTCTTAGCCGCCTTGCTCTTTCGCTTAACCTTGTACGGTGCCCGCAACTTGGCCAACGTTTGGGCCTCGCTGAGTCGGCGCTGAGTCCACGCCTGGACCGTCGAGTCCTTAAGAGCATCCGACAGAAGCGAAACGCCGGAACCTGAATTACCTCAGTTGTAACGCAACAGCGATTGACTACTAGACTCACCTCGAGACCTCTTGTTATATGTCCCAGCTGCTTGGCTCTCTTCTCCACCTCCCGCCCTGACCTTGCCGCCGCCGACTTCAACGCCAATATGGAAGTGGGTGGGCAACTTCTTGCTATCGAGCCGCTTCATGAATTTCTTAGGGTCCATATACGGCTTCAATTTGAGTATCTAACACCACCACTTTTGATAGCCTGATTCATTGAGGGAGGTCAACGAGAGGCACGCCGGATGGGAAAGTGTGAAGGACATCATCTCGATGGTTCAGTCGTTGACGACTTGCAGGTATGTCACAGTGAACACTTCGATACCAAAGATGATAAATTTGGTAAGATAACTCAACTAGATGTAAATACCCCTGACCCACCCTCAGCTCGTTCTTCATCTGAGGCGTTAGCTGCTGCCGAGGCAACCCGAACCATCCATCCAGACGTTCATCCTTCTCCCGCTTGGCCTCCTTCCTACACACACCAACTGCACAGACTATCATACACATTCTCTCACCTCTCAGCGACAGCCGAGACGACATCAGGCGCCGCATTATTGAGCGCAAGTGGGGGCCGTTCCGGCAAAGCTTCAGTCGCATTATCACCGATGACTTCTTCAGGATCGACATTCCATTCACCTACAGGGTAAAGCCGACCTCCAAAAGACACTCCGAGATCGTATCAACATCACACCTGCTTTCGCTTTAGTATTCAACCCAGCCAGTGTAATTGCCGCACTCTCGCTTGAATGATCAGTGGAGGCGAAGGTCCGAGGAGGCTGTCGGGTAGTCGCCATGGCCAAGTCAAGGCCATCGAAGAACTCGCCTCCTGCTGCTTCCGAGCTCTTCACCACACCCGGACGATGTTTCTCTGGAGGATCTGAAATCAACCCCTGATTACTTCTGACCAATTCTGCTATTACGACCAAGGGCAAAGCACTCACCTTCCGCCCGAACTTTGGCCTTCAACCTATCACTGACGAACCTCATCACGAAGTCATCATCGTCATCACTGTCGTCTAGCATTGACATATTGCAGACCAACTACAACTACAACGAGCACCGCAACTACAGTCGGGCACCACAAAGAAGAACTACAAGGCAAGTAAAGGCAGTGAAGTGTGTTAAGCAATGGTTAACTAGTACTGGTACGAAGCAACAAGCATAGACTACTCCACTGGACCTCATCGCCGACCACGACCACCACGACCTGTTTAGTTCTATTCAATGATCCCTTGGTCATCATCACTATTTACCTTTGCCTTTCATCATGCTAGCCATCTTAGAAGGGTCCATGCCCATGTTACGCATCATGTCCTGCATTCCTTCCATACCACCCATTTGCTCCATCATGCCTTGCATACCGCCACCTCCTGCCCAACAACAACACTGCCTACCAACACAAGCAGTCGCTCTCAGTTACCTCCAGCGCCCCCAAGGCCCTTCATCATGTTCATCAGCCCTCCCTGGCCACCCATCTGCTTCAACATCCTAAACAAACAGTCCTCCACCCATGCCCGTGGTACCCTTCCACACTTACTTGGGATCTATCATTTTCCCCATATTTTGCATCATCTGGTTCGGGTTCCGCATCATTTGCTGCATCGTCCTCGGATCGCCGAGCTTCATCTTGCCCATCTTCGACACCATCTTAGAGTACTTCCGATACTCCTCCACAAGCATCTCGACCTAACACCCGAGCATAGTATCTCACCCGAGCCGATCGTCGACGACCAGGACCTACCTCTCGCACTGCATGGCCCGAGCCCTTAGCCACACGCACAATCCGGCTATTACTACCACAGAAGTCTTGCTCGCCATCAAGCTCTCTAGAAAGCAAGCGTATCTTCCAACCCAGTATTGCCCTCAACCCCACTTGTCAGTCATTGAGTCCATCATAGTGAGATAGGCCTTCATTTTCTTCACGCCCTCCTGCTCAGCCCCTGGCGGCAGCATCGAGCTCTGCATGCCCGGTATCATAGACATGACCTTTGACAACGGACCCATCCGCATCACCTAACTCAGCCAAAATCCCAACGATCCAATACCGCAGCGACCGCCCACCGTTCCAAACTGCTCCCTCAGATCTCGCAAAGAGAATTGTCCCGACTGCATTCGAGCCATCATATCTCCTTGTTTTTCCAAGGGCATCGCTTCGCCGATCGTACCTGGGGGCCGGGCAGATGCGTGTCCACCATTCCAAGAAGGCAGCGACTCACTCATAAGCCCTTTGATGTCACCCAAGCCCAGAAGCCTCTGTACGAACGATTGAGCGTCAAACGGCTCGAATTCGTCAAAGTGTTCACCAGTACCTATACGCAGCCACTACGCGTCTTGACGAGGCAGTAATGCTCACCGATGAAGATGATAGGAGAGTCAGTGGCTGCTACAGCCGACAGCGCTCCACCTCCCTTGGCGTGACCGTCCAACTTCGTGACGACCACACTGCCAACTGACACCTATAAACAAAATTCTGGAGGAGAACCCCATGAGAAGTACGAGAATTACGGTATCCTTGAAAGCCTTAGCTTGCTCGAAGCATGCCTGGCCTATATGCGAGTCCATCACGAAAACTATATCGTTAGGATTCACAGCGTGAGCGACTTGCGTCATTTCGTCGAACAGTGCAGCTTCCTAACACTAAAACCATACCGCACCATCACCAATTCCTGCCGCCCACCTGACGATGCCGCCCACTAGTGTCCACTATAATGATATCGTACTTGTCCTTCTTAAACAAGTCCACACCTTCCTTAGCTATCTTAACAGGATCTGACTCTACGTAAGAGCCGTAAAATGGTATCTGGAAAATTCACTTTTCGAAGCACTGCATACTACAGACTGGCTTCAGAGCTTTTCCCATATCATTTTACCTTCACTTTAGTAGCATTCTGTTTGAGCTGATCGAAAGCGCCCGCCCGAAAGGTATCAGCACACACCAAGGCCACACGCCAACCCTTCCGCTGGTAGTAGTGTGCATACCTTCAATTCGTAAGTCCAAGTAACGACGAGCCGCTACTCTTACTTTGTGCAACTAGTTGTCTTCCCACTGCCTTGCAGACCAACAAACATAATCACATTTGGCTGCCCTACAACAATCGTCTCACCTCCCACAGCCCCCCGACCCGTCACTACCCTTCGTCGGCTTATAGGGCTCCTTGTCTGGACTCAACATCTCAACGAGCTGATTAACAACAGCCTTCTGAATGACCCGTTGTTTATTCGACCCAGGTGCCGCGAGTTCCTCCAAATCAACCGTCCGCTTGATATTTTTCCGAAGCTCCGCCACGTACCGTACCTAGAGCCACAGATTCCGACAGACTGCATTACGCAAAGCATGGGATGGATGACTACTACATTGACATCAGCTTGCAAGAGAGCAGTGGAGATTTCTTTTAAACACTCATCCAGAACAGCCTCGTCTATAACAGTGGCCTTCCCGAGCTTCCGGAGGGCTCCGGAAATCTGCTTGCCGAGGTCGGCTAAAACCATTGTGACAAAACTACCAAAATTGACTGTTAATAACCACACAGGTATACAACCCAGTAGGAGAACTCGTCCAAAGGCTCCCACCAGTATTCACACTTCGAATAGTTGAGATGAGCTGTAGGCGACTGTGTGACTAGAACGGTAGATACTCGGTATAGCATAGACGATGATTTACCGCAATTTGAATCATAATAGTGCGACATAATCAGTGACAGTCCCCATACCCCGCAACGGCAACTCGACACCAAAGACGCTACCACCAGGATGATCACTTAAAATGAACAGATCCATTGCGGAGCACGCAGCCCAGTAAGCGGCATACGTCCTCACTAGTTGTGGGAACTGTGTGTACGATACTCGAGTGACGTGTTCGTCAACATTCGTGTCGACCAAGGCCAAAAAATGGACAGCACGAGACGCCCCTTGCTGAGTCCCAGCCTTCCCTACCAGAAACGGTACACTTCGGCCTTATAAATTCTCAGGCCTCCCTGCATTAGCTGAGGTTAGTGCTCTATGAATCGCAAGATTGGGAGCAATCTTTAGGTAGAGGTAAGTCAAATCATCCTTTAGTACAGTGTAACGGGGCAGTTTCCCTCGTGCGAAATGACTGCTTCTCCAACGAATATGTCCGCTCTGGACGATTTCCCTTTTATAATCACACCACTGGTGGGTCCTGTAACAACAGGGGTAAACGCAGCAGTGTGAGGGGATATGCACATGTGTTGGTGACAACATAAAAATGCTGAGGAAATTTTGGGAAATTCTTATTGTCTTTCGTACACTTCTACCAGGATTAGTAGGTAAACTTCTATAATGAGTAGCGAAGCCCCTGAGCTCAGCTGAGGAAAGCGAGCACATCTTCCCACACTGAAACGCAGTGTGCGCATTACGACTATTCCTGCCTTGCTGAGATCTCACTTTACCCTTATAGTGCGTACTTTATTCATCCAATCTCAACAGCCGCTAGATGAACAGCTATTCCTCCAATCGCCCTGATGCAATGGTGACACGTACTCCTCTACTACGGGATAGGATATGGTGATTCCCCGTGCTCGCTCTCCTGGTGGGCTATTCTGCTGATACAGTGAAAAGCACAGGAGTGACGCCTCACTGGGGATTGAGCTATATGGAGGGCGCGGGAATCGAACTCGAGACCACCTCCTCGTCCTAGTGCGCAATTCAGTTTCGCGCTCGCCTTGCTGCGCACAAGATACGTGTGGATGCGTGTAGTATTAATTTATTCCTAGAAACGGTGAGAGTTTCGCATTGGTGATGCGTCACGTTTCAACTGCTATGATGATCTCCATCGCCGGAGCCGCCCGGGGCATCAGGGTCTGGCACACCGGACTGTTGCAAGTTCACGTAACGTAGAGCGTGAAACATGTTTCACGCTTGATGTGCTTCTGCTTCTTGTTAAGCAGTTGAGCGTTCAGGCATGATGAACTTGGCCAGTCGTTCAGTATTGGTTCGCTAACGGTTTCCAAGTTGGGCAGTAGCTTGCTCTTATTTTGTCCTACTCGTATATCTACTCAGGCAGCTATTCGTTCATCCATGCTTACCGCCTCTCATCGCATCATTGGAAGAACCAAAGGAGGGTCTGTTCGAGCACTTGCTACCCTCAACGGAAGATATTCTCCGGAATTCTCTCGCTTCGCGTGAGCTACTCAGCCGTGTTCACTCAGATTGCATGGCTCCCTTTGCGCAGGCCCATTCGAGAGTCGGAAGTTTCACGCGAGATGACAACTCGCTATATGAAGGATCTCTACGACTTCGCCGACACTGACGTCGTTATCACAGGAGCCGGATCTGCTGGTCTCTCTGCCGCTTACGAGCTGTCCAAGAACCCCAATGTCAAGGTGGCCCTTATTGATCAGGGAGTAGCTCCTGGTGGCGGTGCTTGGCTCGGTGGACAGCTCTTCTCCTCAATGGTAGGTCTCTGCTTTCCATCGATCTCTAGTGCTCACTGCTCAGGTGGTCCGCAAGCCGGCTCATCTTTTCCTCAATGAGGTCGGAGTCGAGTATGATGATGCTAGTCCGAACTACGTCGTTGTCAAACACGCCGGTTTATTCACTTCAACCATCATGTCCAAGGTCTTGGCTCGTCCTAATGTCAAGCTGTTCAATGCCACTGCTGTCGAAGATCTAATTGTTAAAGGTGGTCGCGTCTCGGGCGTGGTCACCAACTGGACTCTGGTCTCCCTCAATCACGACACTCAGAGCTGTATGGACCCTAACGTCATGGAGAGCCGTGTCGTCATCAGTGCTACTGGTCACGATGGTCCTATGGGCGCTTCCGGTGTGAAGAGGCTCGAGAAGTTGGGCCTCGTGGACTCTCTCAGAGGCATGGGTGCACTGGACATGAACTCTGCCGAGGACGCTATCGTGGAAGGCACTAGGGAGATCGCCCCGGGAATGATCGTGGCCGGGATGGAAGTCGCCGAACTGAGCGGAGCCCCTCGAATGGTGAGCATTTGCGATCGACTTAAAATTGTCAGCAGGGTGTGACACACTGGGTGTCCTTCATCGTGATAGGGGTAGTATCGATCTTTGTTCCTGCGTTATGAGCTCGGAGATCGAGGCAGTGTCTCTGGATATGATTATGAGAGAATCATCTTTATTTCACTCAGGGTCCAACCTTCGGTGCGATGATGATATCGGGTGTCAAGGCAGCTCGCGTCGCGCAGCAAATTCTCACCGATGTTAAGAACGAGACCATTCAGAACGTCCACAAGTGGTCCATAGAGGGGGAGACTGAGTATGGTCAGAAAATATCCGTCGCCAAGTGAGGAGGGTTTCAGCGATTATTTATTTTCCATGTTTTGATTAGCGTTGTCGGAACCAAATCAAGTCTATTTTTTCAACATTATCTGTCTCGGGTTGTAAATTATAACATATGGGTTTGATTATTTCTGATCGAGGATCTGACGGGGATTCGGAACGAAGCACGTAACGTTAGAGATGATTCGAGGGAATATAAACCCTTCACGTCACTGACATTCACCCTCCCAGAAAAGACTTCTTCCGTAAAAACTATTTTCGGCTTCTTCCACCTAAGACGTTCCTTTCTGAACTCGTCAAAACACCCTGATGCGGTCACTTTTCTATTCTCTGGACATGGTGGATACCGTTCTTTGCTACTCATAGCTCAAGAGAAACCGGACGCTTTGCCCTCGATCGTTTCTGCTCCAACGTAAGCATTGTTCTTTCTATAGTGTGAACCATTTGTGTCTCAAGGTGGTGTTGGGAAACTCTCTAGTCAAACCCATGATATACATAATCGCTCAGAGCGTCTACAGCCACTGGGCACTCCGAGTGGATATCTTGTGACAAGATCACCCGCGAAAATAAACTTGTGTCATCGAGTTTTGTTAACCGACTTTGTTAACAACTATTGGATATAAGAGTGTTATCACCACTACTGCCTCTAATACTGACAGAGTATACGATTCAGGTATGCCTCAGCTTAGAATAGTCAAATTATCGAGGATATGCCAGGTCGAACATGGGCTACGAACAGCTCGAACTGCTTGCGCCGTCCGACAAAGACGCTGCGGTAGTATGGTTCTCGTATACGAGGTTACCAGATTACGCCACCGTGATGCAAGGCGAGCTTCGAGGGATCGAAGCTGCGGCCAATCGGCTGACTTCTACTCGGAATAATCCTTCAAAGCCGGCAGTTATTTATAGTGATAGTCAGGCCGCCATCCGGACTGTCCGGACAGTGGTCGGCTGAGGTAAGCTCGAGAGTACATCAGTGAGTAAAGCCCGCAGGGCGGTTGAACGCGCTGCTGCAACATGCGATCTAGTCGTTCAGTGGGCAAGAGCTCATGCGGGTATCAGTGGTAATGAAATCGCTGAGACCCCGGCGAGATTAGGCGGAAAGAGAAGGGATATAACAGACGTTGCCATTCCTGAGTCGTACACTGTCCATAAGGTCAAAGCGAAATTCAGAGA